TCCTCTGAAGACTCTTCCCACTCGAACCTACCGCTGGCTGCCGCCGCAGCCGCCGCAGTCGCCGCAGTCGAGTCGCCGCCGCCGCCCACCTGGAACCGTCGTCCATCGATCATCGTGGTGGTGGAAGCGAAAGGAGGGAGGGGGGCTCCACGGCTGCTGTTGATGGGGGGGGGGGCAGTGGTGCTGCTGCTGATGGCGGTGATGCTGCTGCCCCGCTTGCGGTAGTCCGCGAGGGCGATGGCGAGGTCGTTCCAGAGGACGATGCCAACCAGGACCTTGTCGCTCCTAAGAAAAAAAAAAAAACATGGGACCATAGATAGCGCGAAGAGAGAAAGGGATGGGGCAGAAACAACAGACGCGCACGCGCGCTATGGGGGAATACAAAGGCCAAGACAGAGCGCCAATACAGAAAGGGAAGGGCAGAAAAACAGACCCGCACGCATGTTTTGGGGAAATGAAGTTTTGCTTGCACTCAACCACACCACGACGATACAGCAAGCCCGAGAAGCATAGCGCCAAGGATGACAGGAGGGAAGAAATTGCAGAAGAGCAAACGCGCACGCACTTTTTAGGGAAATAAAAATGCTATTGCTTCAACGACTAATACACGAAAAATAAAAAGGAAGCAAACGCGCGCACGCTCGGTTGGGGCGAAATGAAGAAATTGTCTATGCATACAGGCTGTCGGAATCCCTTGAGATGGTGAAGAAGGTAAGAACGAACACTACACCAACGTGCTGGAGAATGGGTCGGCAAGAGGTGTTGTTGCCTCCAAATCAACGGAAAGAGAAGCAGCCATAGCCTCGTGAGGGCGCACAGCTTGCAACATCACCACATCACCATGGTGGCGTGGGTTGTGCTGCTGGCAAATGCTGCTGCCGTCTCGGACGCGTTAACCCTGAACATACACGAGGAGGTTGGATTCCCTCCCCCCCTCTCCCATGGAACGCTAAATTTCGCACCATGCGCGCCCCCCCAAGACACAGGAGGATGGATCGCCAAGGGTCTGCCTCCCTCCCTCCCTCTCACACGGACTGCACGACGGCCCATGAAATGCAAAATCTTGCTCCATGCGCGCCCCCCTAAAATACAGGAGGATGAACCGCCAACGGTCTCCCTCCCTCCCTCCCTACCACCCTCTCACATGGATTGCACGACGGGTATGAAGTGGCCGGGTTGGCAGCGCGACGCAACCTCGGAAGCGTCCCTCCCGGTGCAGTCGAGAGACAGGCACGGTATCTCGTCCACTTTGATCATGACGTCCTCAGCGGGGACGTTTTGGTCCTCGGGGGGCACCTCAACAGGAAGAATGAACGCGGGAGGGGGGGGAGGTGTACTCATAGTCGTGCATGCCGTAGTCGTTAGACCATTGACCTCGCATCCCTACAAAGCCGGAGCACGCCGGGTTCTCACCGGACCAGGCTCTCACATCACCAAGCGCGAAGCGCCGTGAGGTATTCGGCGAGTCGCATGAAGGGTACGCTGCATCCTGCTAAGGGTGTTCGGCATCTTGTGCTTATTTCCTTGCATACGGATGACAACTGCGTGTGACTTAATTTATTTTCTGGTGCTTTCACTTCCTGAGACAGTTGTAAGCACTGTGTAACTGCCTCGAGGGTG